AATAAATAAATAAATAAATAAAATACAAAAAAGTCTTAAAGACTAACTGCTATATTTTAATGTGAATTTTCATGGACAAGTCCATTTCCTCAGGCATAAGAGTGGGACTACAGAGCAATGTATAAACATTTGCCATGTAGTCCCACTCTTATGTCCAATGAAGTGGATTTGTCCACAAAAGCTCACATTAAAATATGGCAGTTAGTCTTAAGTTGCCACAATATTTTTGAGTTATTGGTTCACTGTGTCATATTTCTTCACATTCTTGCCTCCCACATTTGGCATTTTTCTTCCTCTCCAAAAGCATTCCTAATCTGTTGCTCTTCCAGGACAGTCTACTCAGCTTTACCCAGAAATACTTCATTTTCCCTTATGGCCTAAAGGATGTGGAGAGATGAGCTTGAAGCTGTTGTGGCTTTTATTCCAGTAGGGCTGCCAGTAGACCTTTACATTTACTATTCCAGTAGACTTTTACATTCTCAAGCAAGAAGACCAGCGCCACAGCTGTTGCAGGGCACTGCGCCTGCTTTTTTAACATGTGTGCCTCTTGTTATATGACACAGCTCTCCATGTCTTCCCTTCAGTCTCTGCTAAATGCCTGCACAAAACATACAATTTAGCCATCCTATTCACAAGCTCCTTATCAAGGGTAGCCAGAGACTCAGAACTGGAGTAAACTTATAGACTAACAACTGCTAGCTCCTCCCCAACCAAGTCAGGGACTCACTTCATCTCAGCTCTAGCTCATCTATCAACCCATATGCTTAGAGCAGAGAATGTAGTGCAATCGTACAAAGAGCCAAAAACATACAAACTCCTAAACAGCTTAGGTGATAGTTAGCCTCAAGGCAAGAGGCACAACCATGCATTCTTTCATCTCTTCCACCAGTCCCACACAAGTTAGTCCTGTTTATGCAACAGTGTAACAGTTCTACCACAGAAGGAGGAAAGTCCATTTTTCATCTATATTCTCCTCATTGCACATCCTGAAAATCCCCAGACATGGTTGCATGGGCTAACGTGTTCCCTACGGTTGCAGCCAGATTAATATCTGTATACTTAACCCCAATTAGCATATATAAAGGTGTTGTACTGTGCTGGTTGCTGAGATTTTTAGTGCATGGTGGAATTCATACAGAATTCTATTTATCTGTACTACACATTGCGGGCCTGATGTGGATGTCAATTTTATCATGACAGCTAACATAACTCGAAAGTGCTATCTCAAATTTAGCTCCTGTACACCAAATTAGGCTCTGAGAATATCGGTACATCTATTTGAGTTTGCTGCCTGTCAGCAATGGAGAACGTTCTCCAGAGATTTATCAAGGTTCAAGCCTGAAAGGTGCAAGATTTGAAAAATTCATCTAGCCCTTAGAGTTCTGGGACAGATGGAGGCCAAATTTTGAAGTCTGTGGAGGTTTTCTGCATTGCTTATTTGTATCCTGACAGATACCAAGCTTGTAAAACTTGTGTTTTATGTGAGTAAAAAACTGATTTCACATAATATAATTAAAATCGTTTGTCTGAACCATTCATAACATTCTACAATCTTCATGTTTATATGTCTTTTCTAGATAACTATTTCTTTCAAATATGTTTTTCAATGATGGCTCAGCATGAATACATTTCCTGGGTCTTCAAGTTATGATTTCAGTTTTCTCCTCAGCTATGCTGCACTATATGGAGTAACCACTCTTCTCTTCCAGATGGAATTCTCAGGTCCCAGGCTTCACCTTCAGTGACATGTTCATTCAGATTGCTACTCGCCTGCCATCACAATACATATATGGATTTGGAGAAAATGAACACACTCATTTCCGGAGAGATATGAACTGGGAGAGCTGGGGAATGTTCACTAAAGATCAGCCTCCTGGAGTAAGTAGAGCGGGTTTTCCTGCTGTATGCTATTTCCAGTGTGGAAAATGAAGTGATAACTCTGGGCAGGACCCTGTTCAGCACCAGAAGAGAAGAAAGCTCCACCATGTAGGTTTTCCTGCCTATCACAGATTTAATTTTGTTAAATCTGTGATAGGTGCCTCTGTTTTCACAAGGAAGTACTCCTTGCACAAGTGGCAGAAATGTTAATTGTCTTCCGCTGCCATCTGTTTCACAAGCAGTTTGACTGAAGAGGATCCTGACCATAGCACATAGTGTTTCAGAAACATACTGCCAACAATCCTATTTTGATAGCTCCCCATCCATTTTTTGTGATACAGCTGAGGAGGGCAGCATTAAACCATGTCAGTTCCAGTAACAATAATCAATGACTGTAATTAAAGAAAAAACAAAGCGAGAACTTCGTGGTGCTACTCTGTCAACTTAATGTGGAGTTTGACCTTAAGTAGCAAAAGGAAAAAACATGGTTATCTTGATAGCTCCAATAGAATACAAAAGCAAAGCAATTTTTAAAGTTTCATGAGTTCGACTTACAAAGTTGTTCTGTTAGATCATTCTTCTCTAGTTATTCAGGAATGATGGTGGACAAAGAATGCCTGCCTAGTAAAGCTATCTGTATCTACAGTATATCTATCTATGGATTTTGGTGCCTAAAAAATAACATTCTCCTCCTTAACTGTTTTCCAGTACAAGCTGAATTCCTATGGTTTTCATCCCTTCTACATGGCACTGGAAGAAGATGGAAATGCTCATGGGGTTTTCTTGCTGAACAGTAATGCAATGGGTAAAAAGCCAGTCACCTTCCTATTTCAAACAAAATATAATTTACTGCAAATATATTTCAAGCAATCATTATTAATTTCCTACTTATATCTTCTGGATATTTTTTAAGATGTCACCTTCCAGCCGACACCTGCCCTCACGTACCGCACAATTGGAGGAATTTTGGATTTCTACATGGTTTTGGGACCAACACCTGAAGAAGTAGTGGAGGAATATACCAGAGTAAGACAGATCTGGTATTTTAATATGTATGCCCTAAACTAGCTAAATATATATATTTGCACTTTCATGTTTATCTAGCTCAAATAAGATTGTCTGGATGCATCTTTTGAAATAAAGGAGGATATACATTATCCAACTGAAGCTGCTAGCTATTGAAAAGGACTCCTTCACCTGAATCAAAGGGCATAGTACTGCTGATGGATCTTTACCCCAAAACATGCTCTAGAAGTCTGAGAAACGCTCTGAATCTTGTTTTCAGGCGAGCAGGAGGCTGAAGCAGCAAAGCAAAAAGCAAAGTGTGCTGCTGATATACAACCCCATAGTGCTTAAAGTAGTCTCTGGGCAGTTTACAGTGTTTAACTATGAAGCCAAAGATTGTGGGTGGGGGCATGAGCTGGTTACTTATTTTATTGACCTTGGAAGGATGAAAGGCTGAGTCCAGCTGGCTTCTTGAATCTGCTGGGATGGAACACAGGCCATGAGCAGAGTTTGGACTGCAGTACTGCAGTTTTACCACTGTGCCACAAGGCTCAGTGAAGATGGTAGAGGAGGGAAAGCAACTTCTTATGCTAGCAGGAACTAGAGGTAAGTTGAGGCCATGCAGCTGGGGATTTCTTCTGTAATTCTTTTGTTTATTTCCTTTCCTCCCTTAGAAGCTCATGAAAAACACTCGAGCCACAAAACCCAAAATATATAAATAACATAACATGGTTCAGTTATCTTGGACGACTGAATCACAGCAGCAAATTTAGCAACTGCTACAGAGAAATAAGGATTTTTATCTTCAAATCGTGTAGGCACAATGTTTTCAGAGAATGGTGTTTCCAATATACCAAATAAAGCACTCTCTTCCAGTTGCATAAAAAGGGCAAGGGCACAGAATATGTGAAAAAGTATCCAGCCTAGTGCTGTCACATGGACAGACTCTTTCAGAATAAGAGTGTCCTGCAATCTTCCTTGTATCTTTTTCTGATTTGTATCTCTTCTTAAAATTTGTCTTTTAAGCTAATTGGACGACCAGTTATGCCCCCTTATTGGGCTTTGGGATTCCAGCTTTGCCGCTATGGATACAAAAATACTTCTGAAGTTGACGATCTGTATACAGCGATGAGGGCAGCTCGGATACCATATGTAAGTTTCTTAGCACCTCCAGTCTGTTGCTCCTGTGCCTTGGAACAGTTTACTGGCGAAGTCTGGCAGTAAAATGGGCAAGGCGTTTAAACTAGCATTTGAAGCTTAATGCCTTTACTTTCAGTGAGATTCCTTACTTGTTGCTGGATTATGGGTATCAACAGCACGGCACTGCAAGCCACACAAAGCAAATAAAATGCTTGCTTTAAATCCATTCCTCCCCAATTCCCATCAATAGCAATGCTAATGGTTGCCTAAATTCAACAGCTGGTTTTTTTCAGTGGTGCTGAAATGGGCTTGGAGCCTTTTGTAGATTTCCTGACCCATGGATCAAAGCATTGATATGAAGCTCCTAAAATTAATGTAATATTTTTTCAGCCAGATTGTCATGCCCTATAAATTTGATTGTTTAGTTTTTAAAACTCAGAGTTTCGTTTTAGCACAATCTACCTCTAATTAATGATCTGATAAGAATTCAGATATTCATGGTTCCAGCTTGTGTTTTAGATTTGCTACGTTGATTGAATTTATGGCTGGAGAAAAGATGGCAGCCTAAATTTAAAGAAAGGTTGACATTTATCGAAGGTGTAACATATCAATAATTTTCACTGCTAAGTAGTAGAACTAATGTTGCATATCTTGCTGGCATGTTTTGGTTTCTTCATTACTAAATGTTCAATTTATGGCTAATGCCTGCCGTCAGACTGTGTGGAAATGGCCGTAGTGAAGTGGAAAATGAAACAGGCAGACAAGCTGACCTGTGTACATTCTGATGCACAGACATTCTGTCAAACGTTATGAGTTCCCTCCACTGAAATGAATAGAGAAGCAGAGAAACTTGCATACATCTGTAGAGTGCATGAACTAAGAATTTAAATGCTTCTTTTTCTCCTCCTCCATGAGACACTTAGGGGCTACAAAATCGTTCTCCTTCCCCCATGAGAGGCAGTGCAATTTTTAGAGCTCTCGAAAAAGAAGAACAAAAATAGGTTGGCTATATGTTGCTTGGTCTGTAAAGAATTAAAAGCATCTGTGGAATTCTCTGGATCTTTTTCACAATCACCAATCATTCTACCTTTGCTGCTTTGCTTCTAAAAGGGAGAAGACACATGTTTTCTGCAAATATGGCTTGAGCTTTATTAATTATAAGAGCTAAAGATTATATTAGTTAGAAGACTTCTATACCATCCTAGACTAGAGTAAACTATAGTTTACAAAACAAGAAAAATATGAAATATTATACACCAATGCAGCAGCAAAATGAGTCTTCTGGTAGGCCCAGCCATGAAGCAATATTACATGCCAGTTTCCCCCTTAAAGAAACCCTATTACAAGATATAAGTCTAAAAACCATCTGTACCATTTACAGATTTTTTAAAAAAAAAACTATGTATCTAGATATGTGTTTAAAGATACTTGATTAAGCATAATTTTCTTTAAGCACATATGTGACTGAAGCAGATACCTTTTTTAACAAGTTTGCCTCCCAGAACTTTTAAAGACTTTCTTAAACAAGTCTTCAAATGTGTTCATCATAATAACTATGTCCCCATTATATTCAATCTTACATTTCTTTACTAATTTTAATTTGACACAGGATGTACAGTATACAGACATTGATTACATGGAACGGAAGCTGGACTTCACTCTTGGCCAAAACTTCCGTGATCTTCCTGCTTTTGTTGATCGAATAAAATCAGAGGGTTCAAGATTCATCATCATCTTGGTTAGTAACTCAGACATTCTTGGGTTTTCTTGATATAGATACTCCTGAAGGCTAAATGTAAGAGTATTTCCCAGTGTCATGATTTCCAACTATAGCCAACCAGCTCCTCCTGGACACTATAAGGAATAAAACATCCTTATATCCCAGAATTTCACCTTCAAAAATACATTATCTTTGGACTCTTAGGTTCCATTAATTGTCTCTTTTTCTAGGCATGTCAGCCAGTGACCATGTCAGTCAATTCTATAACCATGGAATTGTGTTTTTCCATACAATGATTCACTGCAAAATATAAAGAGGTCCTTTGTCCTATATAATTCCTTTTTACTTTGGAATTATCCAGTGAGGCCCTGCCCTATGTTGTCCAAGGGAACATAAATTGATGTACACAAATAATTTTGTGGAAGTGATGGTATCTCTTTACTAAAACTCTGTCCTGAGAAAGATGTTCACTGTTATCGCTCACTGAAACCTCTTGAGAAATAATCCAAAACTTTTATATCCCATACAGATTTGAAAATATGTGGGTTACTGATAACAGAGAATTAAATGTGTCATATATTCCATTGCATTTCACAGAGAATGTTATTGTATGGATTGTCTAATTGTTTACATGTTGTTACACGTTTAAATGTTAATCACTTGCATCTTTGACTTATGTGGAGCACAAAAGACAAGATAAACATAGGATCGATAAATGAAAAGACGTATTTACTACTTTAATTGCAACACAAAATTGTCTTATATTCATATTTAGGACCCAGCTATATCAGGCAATGAAACTGAGCCATATCCTACATTCACAAAAGGTGTGCAGAACAATGTCTTCATCACATGGCCCAACACCACAGACATTGCATGGGCAAAGGTATGCTTGTTATTGCCTCTATCCTACTCAATACCTCCCAAAACCCATTTGATTGTTGGACAAGAACAACTGGATATGAGCCCTGTCTGGCCATTCCTTTATACACAGGCAGGAAATCATTTAAGATTTGCTGATCACATTATCCTCATTTAGAGGTAGTGAGAGGATCTAGAAATCTATACTACAGCTTAGTTTTCTCATCTGAATGCTGTTTTACAACATCGTAATATTCAATGGATGTTGTCCAGAATCTAAATGGCAAATTCACACTTGCATCAGTGAAATCATACACGTTGCAGCAGCAAGGTGCTAGATAGGGTGTGTATCCAGAAAATGCAGCCAGCACCTTGGTAGTTAGTGGCAGTTTATCGTAATATTCAATGGATGTTGAAAGTGATATGTCATGATGTCCAGAATCTAAATGGCAAATTCACACTTGCATCAGTGAAATCATACACGTTGCAGCAGCAAGGTGCTAGATAGGGTGTGTATCCAGAAAATGCAGCCAGCACCTTGGTAGTTAGTGGCAGTTTGCCAGTAGCAGTTCTGCAACTTCATTTATGCAAGCATAAGTCATCAATTGGATTCTGGTCAATTCTGAATAAATAAAATAAATTTAATGCTCAATCTGTTTTAAGAGTTCCATCATAAGACTAAAAAGCAGGAAACGGCAGACATATGTGCCTTTCTTGAATCATTGTTTCTTAAACATGGGGTTCTAGTTCTTAGCCACTATAGGGTGCTTTTTGTGACAAAATCAGAATCATCGATAGTTTATGTTCTACTAAAGTGACAGGCAAAAAGGGAACATTCTCATCATATAGCACACTGTTTCAAAGGATCCATGTACACTTATGAGTCCCGAGGAACAGAGATGCCTTGACAGAATCTTGGAATCTTGATTTCAGAAGCTCTGTAACTATGTTTAGAAAGCACAATTACAGAGCCCTATAGGGATCTCCATGCTCAGTATGTGCAAGTCTGACATACATCTGAGTGAGCTGGGATGTTTTGGGGTGGGAAATGCATGCACACCCATAGCTCCAGACCCAGTTTTGTTCCTGTGCACAACCATATAAATATCTAAAGAGGGTTTATATGTGGGCCAAATCTAGGTCTTCTTCCTCCAAATATAATAATGCTAACTATCTGTGTATGAATCTGTATATAAGTGGAAAAAAAACCCACATGGCTCTAAGCATATGGAGGCTGATTTCTCTCTTTGCTGAATTACTGCAAACAGCCTCTACATGATCCTGTTGAACCATCATCAACTCATTCCCACAGTAACAACAATTAATTTACTCATGATGGCACCAGGGATACACAATGAAGAGGCATCAACTGGTTTGGGAATGCCCTAGGTCTTGCACAAGTACAAAAATTATTCAGGAAAAGAATCCTTAAGAGTGGCACTATGAGTATGTTCACTGAACACATAACAGTTTGTATCTCTTGGAAAAAATAATGTGAAACTGGTTTTCAATCAATAAACATATAGCATCAATAAATAACATGCAGTTTTAATAGAAGCTGGTTAAAAAATACCCACAGTTTATAAGCATAAATTAAAATCTTTAATCTGACCTATTTACTCTTTTGAAATCCTTAACTCTGTTGGGTACTGGTGGGTACAAAATAAAATGCGCTGTTACTTTTATTACTTTGCAAACTACACTCTGCTTTTGTTTAAAAGCTTTATAAGCCACTTCTTAGAATGGACTTCAAAAAGCGTTGTAAAGCTTACAATATACAATGCAGAATAGTTATGTGCTGTCAAGCAGGGACTGACGTATAGTGACCCTAATAGGGCTTTTCTCTTGGAAAAAATAATGTGAAACTGGTTTTCGGTGATGGTGGAAGAATAGAATGTAACATTTTTAAATGGTATGTCTCGCTTGCTGATATTGCAACAGAGCTGTTGCAATTCAACATTCTGTTGAAGCTCAGTGTGTGTCTGTCCATGTGTACACGCGTGTGCGTGATACACACTATATTGTTGATATCTGCTCAGATATACACAGTGCAGACTGGATGAATACAGTTCAAATCCTAAGAGATTTTCATGTTTGAATTATACAACAAAGAACTCTAAATATATGACAGCCCCTTTTTGACTTTCCATTTAGGTATGGCCGGATTATCCCAACGTAACAGTTGATGAAAATGCAAGTTTAGAAGTACAGCTTGAGGTACTGTTGTCATTAGTTCTCCTTCAGTTATAAATCTTGCTGCTAGTTTGAATATCCCTAAACATACTTTTTAATGTCATATAAACTTACTTGTAAAATCCACTACTTAAAATAGAATTTTCCTATGTCTAAAATACATTTCTTTGATTTAACTTCTTCCCACAAGAGGCCTGCCTGACATCAACATGGTTGTTCTTTCAGAGTGAAGCCAAAACATATATCTTATTCCAAACATGTTCATGTATTTTAACCTCCTCTAATTTATGATTTGTTCTGAACTTTATATTGTATCCTTTTTAATACACCACATTGAAACTCTGTAGTTGTTGTTGTCATATGCCATCAAGTTGCCTACAACTTATGGTGACCCATGACTTCTCTTATAGAGTCAATCTATCTCATCCTTGATCTTCCTCTTTTCTTGAGGCCTTCAGTTTTGGAGAATCTTGCCCAAAGATGTGTCCAAAGTGTGATAGCCTTAATTTTGTTTTTGTTTTTTTTTTGCTTCCAGAGATATTTGAGGTATAGAAATTGTTGAAATAAATAGTTTCTTATTTATGGTTTCTGTGCCATTTTCAGCTCTACCGGGCATATGTTGCCTTTCCTGATTTCTTCCGCAATGCAACATCAGCGTGGTGGCAAGAGGAAATAAGGAATTATCATGCCAATTATGTGAAATTTGATGGCCTATGGACTGTAAGTAAAAGCAAACCGGATAACTGCCTTAACAGATATATCAGTAGTAAACAACAGACTGAAATATTACACAAGGGTAAAATTGATCACTGTTTGTCTTAAAAAGGAGTACTAAAATATTATCTTTGCCAATGTAATTAAAATCAATTTTTTTATTTTTTTAAAAAAATCAGCAACACAAAAACATATAGCCTCAATAAACATATAGCATCAATAAATAGCATGCAGTTTCAATAGAAGCTGGTAAAAAATATCAGGTATTACTAATAATAACACAGTATGGAGTTTCCAGGGCTCAGTGGCAATTCAAGCTCATCCCACCCTATCCATTACACCACACTGGAATAATAATAAAACAATATATCTAACACAAGAAGTTCAAATCAAACTCTACCAAATATATGCTGACCCCAGTCCTAGCATATTTACTGGCCAGAGAAAACATAAGTCTTAAGGGCCCATTTGAAGGCCTATAGTTAGTTATAGTGCAATCTTGAGATTTTCCACCTCACACTTCTTTAATCTATTCAACACCAAGTTTTCTTCTTTTATCTCCAATATATATTTGAATTTATTTGTTTATCCCTTTAAATAAACCTTAAATAGCTTTAATTTTGAGCCTTTGGGGAATGTATGCAGTATTTCCTCTATGAATGAAGATCACATGAACTAAAATGCTTCAGATGCCATCACTGAACAATCTCTGTTCTTGGTATAAAAAAAACACAGCTGGATTTACCAAGGCTTCTGTGGACTCCAATCAATTTTATTATTATTATTGAGCTTCTGTTAATCTTTGATGTCTCTCTTTTAATTTTTTTTCCACTGTGATTAATACATTTGTGGATTAATGCATTTTAGGTCTGTTGTTATTTGCCATCAAGTCAATTGTGGGTTGCAATAACCCTATGAATTAATGACCTCTCAGGCATCCTTACCAACTCTGCCTCAGTCCTGCAAACTGGTTTCCTTTACTGAGCCTCTTTTACTAATGCTTTCTACTTTTCTTAGCACTATTATCTATCCCAATGTTTCTTGTCCTCTCCTGGTAGATCCTCAATGTGATAGTTTCAGCTTAGCCACTTGAGCTTCTAGTGAAAGGTTAGGTTGATATGACATATTTGTCTATCTTATTTTTAAGATCATAATTTTTCCTGTCAACTTTCTTCATTGTTCAGCTTTTACGTCCATATACTGTACATAACAGGTATTACTAATAATAACACAGTATGGATGACCATGACCTTGGTCACCAGTGACACATCCTTATTCTTAAGGATTGATTGATTGATTGATTGATTGATTGATTGATTGATATACTGCCCATTGGGTTCAAAGGCCAGTTCCTCTGTGGCTGCGCTTTCAGGTTTCATTCTTCAGATTTCTTTGCTACTATCTTTGTTTTAGTTGATGTTTCAATCAAGGTGTAGAAAATCACATCAACTTTAATTTCTTCATCATGAACATTAAAATTATGCAATGCTTCTGTAGTCAACTTTCATTTGGTATTTTCTTATATTGTTATTTTCTGCCAGTATGCAGTGTCATTTGCATGTCTTAAAATTATTTTTGTGTTCTCTACCACTCCTTCACTCTTCATAAGCCAATTTTCATAGCCAGAACCCTTTCATTTTTTTTTTAAATCTAAGGTCTGCATAATGTGCTGTGGCTAACTGTGGCTAACTGGCAAAGTGCTAGAGCACATCTTGGCTATGCAATGGGACAAATGACCAGACATATGTCTGAGACCACTCCGACACCTAATTGACTGGCCACAACTAGCTGCAGCAAGTAATTCAAACCTTACTTAAAACACTGGTAAGATTCTGGTCATTATGTTTTGCAGATAGACTGAGTATGCAGAGAGATAAAATGCACCCTTGTGGGGTACCTTTCACAAGTGGAGATGATTCTCTCCCTCATATTCTGTCTTAAGAGTTGCCTCTTGTCCAGAGTATAGGTTATCTGATAAGCACAAGGAAATGTTGTGGTACATCCATTTCTTTTAGACTGATCCACAACTTTTCACGAACTACACAGCCAAAGACTTTACTTTAATTCAGTGGTTCCCAACCTTGGGTCCCCATATGCTTTTAGACTACAACTCCCAGAAATCCTGGCCAACAGACCTATTGGTGAAGGCTTCTGAGGATCCAAGATTAGGAACTACTGCTTTAATCTCTAAAGTATGAATTAATTTTCTTCTCAAATTCCTTTGTACACTCCTGAAACACATCTATTGCAGTATGACCTCTAATGCCTCTTCCTTTTCTGAATCAGACTAGAATACCTGGCATATCTCCATCCATATATGTTATAATGTTTTATAATATTGTGTTTTGATATTATGTATCATATAGAGAGCCGTCACAGCAGAAATACAGCATATATATACATCAGAAGAGTCAGATACATACATCCAGATTTTGTACAATAAACCCATAATATTTAAATATCGATATAGATTAGCATCAGTCACAATTCACAAGCTATTGTAGGATGGTTCAGAGTTACTGATTTATTAATGCTTTGATTCTTGAAAAACTACTTCAGGACATGAATGAACCATCCAACTTTATTGATGGAGCTGTTGATGGCTGCAGAAACCGAGAATTAAATTATCCTCCATATCTGCCAGGTAATATATTTCCATAGCTCACAGGATCTTATCTAGTTAGTTATGAGGAATGAAATCCTAATGAAGACTGCTGATTTGTTCTGTTTATTTAAATGGAATTTAGTTTGGCTTATCTGGAATAGATTTATAGTATGGGCCACAACTGTAAGTATACATCCAAGACAGTACGTTTTACTGAACATTTAGTATCCTACTCCTATGTAAACAGGCATAGGATAATGGGGGGAGGACACCATATAATATAGGATATATTTGTTAATTTACTAGTTGTCAATACTTGTTTCTATTTGTTATGGTTTCTTTTAAAATTAGAGTTGGGCTTGGTTATTTAATCAATCTACTGAATTCCTCTGTTCAAAGCAGGGAAAAAAACTGCATATTTTGATATTAAATAGAAATAAAGGCATGCTAAATTAAACATTTTTTTTCAAAATTAAGGTAAAAATATATTTTTTCCATTTTAGTTTTCTATTCTGGCTTTGGGGAAGAAGACTGGTTTAAAAAGAAAAACAAACACAACCTAAATATGTCAGCTGGAATCCTATGTGTAATAGTGGAATTGCTCCACCATTTTCAAGTGACCTCTAGCTTGTAGTTATACAAGCTGGAAGTTGCCTTATTAGACACAACAGTGTTTACACTTGTGCCAGTGGGCGGTGAATACCCTCTTACCCAATTTGCTTCTTTCAGGAACTGAGTGCACAATGAGGCCATTGTGCTTACCGAGAAGAGAATTACAATTCTGGCCAATATGAAATTATCCTTTCCCTTCTCCTTGCACTCTTCCCATAGATGGCTTTGAGTGTGAACCTCCAAAGTAATGCATATGGCTTTCCACATACTTCTTCCAAGTACTGGCCAAATCATGGCCTCCTTGTGTTAAGACTCTGCAAATAAGGAGGTACACTACAAATCTACATTACAAATGATGGCACTATTTGTGGGTGAGAAGGTATATCCCAGTTATTAAGTGCTCTCCAATATAAACTGGGTATCCAAGAAAGGCTGTAGTCCCTTGTTTCAGGAAAGTGCCAGATACGATTTTGACCAATAGTGTGTATGCTGTTTGGTTTGAAGCAAAGTAAAATCCTTCGTTTGGGGGCATATGTCATAGACTGTGAGAATCACACATACTGATGAAAAGAACTCTAATACATTTTTTCCTGATTCATATATTTCTACAAATCACCTCTTTCTCTGTCACTTTAGCTTTGGTATTAAGAGATAGAGGACTAAGCCTTGTGACAATATGCATGGAAAGTGAACAGCAACTTCCTGATGGGACACCCGTAAGACACTATGATGTGCATAACCTGTATGGATGGTCACAAGCAGAACCCACTTACTAGTAAGCTGTTTGTATGATTTTTAATCTTCCTGAAATCCCCATTTCTTCAGATCAGACATGTTGTGACTATTCTAGTAGATGTATTCACTATTGGAAAAACAAAACCATTTTTCTAACATTGGACATTGCTTTTCTGTTTGATTTCATCTGCTGAAATTTGGGAGTATGGTAATATCCCACTTACCACTGACTGCCCCATTCAACCCTGTTGCATTATTACACATGTTTCACCAGTCAATCAGTCAGTGTTTCTTTGGTTGGGGCAAATTGACCCCCTCTTTTCCCCCACTTTCTCTCTCTCTCTCTTTCTCTCTCCCTCCCCTCCCTTCTCCCTCCCTCTCCCTCTCTGCTTCTCCCCCTTCCCTCAGTTGCCATTCACACATGTTCTCCCAGACAGAAACACACACACTATCCACACTCAAGAAAGCAAGCAAGAAAGCAGTTGGGCAGTTGGGAGCTTTCCTGGAGCCCCGCCTCACTTTGCCAGCTCCTCCCTGTGCAGTAAACGTGGCAAAAGCAGTGCATGTATGCCTTCCTTCTCTTCCTTGTCTAGTACCACAAACTTGGAACTGCCTCAAACTTTCATTTGTATTTGCACCCATGCAATGAAGTCCAAAGTTACAATATCCCCAATTAACCACTGTTTTGAATAGCACTCCATATTCATTGAATATGTCTTGAAAACTAACAGGGTATTCCTGTATAGTGATTTTTTGTTTTTGTTTTTGTTTTAGGGGTTGTGTATAGGGATGGGAAAATGGGGCGTGAGATAAACAAGGGGTGCAAATCAACATAAACATTTAAGAATACTCATTATCTGTTACATTTCATAGGTACATATGATATACATTCTTGCTATTAACTCATCTTGTGATGGATTTTCCAGGTCTTTCCAATGTTTAGCAAAGAGAATTCTTGCAGCTGTCAAGATATGGATGGTTAAATGAGATTTAGCTGGTTCTATTGAGTCCAGAATTATGTTTAGAAGAAAGAATTTGGGAGTTGCAGTTATTGGACTCTCTAGAACCTCTTGCAAGAGCAGTTAGACCCGTTCCCAATATTTTTTGGGCTTTCCAAGTTTTGAAATTTGTAATACGCAGTGAGCTCATGTCATACTTTTTGATTCTAAAAGTTAATGAGAGCCATTCTGATTTCAGTTTCAGAGAAACATAATCTGGATTTAATAGGAAGTTTATAAAAGGGGTTTAAAAGTTGAAACCGTTAACCTATATGTGCCATTATGTTTTCACACCAGTGGTATGCACAATGCCACAGGAGAACGTGGGATCATTATTACCCGTTCCACATACCCATCCAGTGGACGATGGGCAGGACATTGGCTTGGTGATAACTATGCAAGATGGGACCAGCTTGACAAATCCATTATTGGTAAGAAGAATTTTCTATATTCACCTATTATTTGTCAGGGAAATGCCACATCAACATATTTAGGGATGGACTGGAGTTCTTAACAATGGAAGATTCGGATAATAGGTCACTCTGGATGTCATTAGGATTGTTGCCATCCCATCCAAAACTTGCATTGAATTCTAAAGGATTGTGCCTCTCTTCTACCAGAATGTCCCACTCCATGGTACTTCTCCTTCTATTTCCTGGGTCATTTGGGGCAGTGCTCATTAGGTGATGCAGCAAGCTCTATATTTGCCTGGTAGCGAGCCATTACGTGAAGAGACTGAGGGTAAAGTGATGAAATCCTTTCACTTGCACAAATGTGGAAAACATTGCAAACTTATATAAATTACTAACAGAGCAACCTTAGCCCCTTTGATGACCCTACAGTGGATCTGAATATGGCATAGATATCTCTTCAGACAGAGAAAATCTTCAACAATGAGGTGGACACATCTGACTTAGAGACCTTGGCTAAGCCTGTAGGCATTATCATATTGTGGAGGTGGGCAGGATTGTGGAGGTGGGAAGGGGCAGGACTTTCTTAGATCCAATTTTCCTTTATTCATTTGAGGGATCTCTGTATTTCCAGCCCCATCTGGTTTAGAAATATTGTTAGTAAAGTTGAGAATTTTGTTCCAATTCATATTTTTTTGGTCATAATTTACCAAAATTCACAAAATATGAACATAAAAGGAACCCAAATTGATAATCATATTGATGCCTCTGAGTCATGCCTATAAAACCAATGGGAAGGGAATTTTAAACATGGATATCATGAGGTAGGTCTATTCACATGTCCACTCTCCTGCTGACAGATGCTTGGAAATAACCTGGCCCCCTTCCCCATCCTTTTCACCATTTTGTACCCTCGTGGTTTGATAGGCTGACCATCTTCAGCCCCATCCAGTAATTTTTTTTTGCATGTACAGTATATAAAGTGCATATGGCAGAGGAGTCCCTAGCTCTGTTGATCTCTCCTTTCACTTCCATTCTCATCCTGAGCATGGAGGATGGAACTGAAATAAAGAGACCTCATTATCCATGGGACTTTCCAAGGGAGTTAGAGGCCTTGGAAAATCAAGTTCTAACATATATGGACATTCCTCATTAATAGTGGAGACTGTCTAGTTCTGTTGCCCTCCACATGTAAAGGAACTGGAAACAGAGGGATAAAACTAGGGTCCTCCCCATCCTTACAACCAGCAAACAATTGGGCACAGATGAAGCAAAGAACTTTTTAGGGCTTTTTATCATCCAGCTATGTGTCAAGGAGAGTTTCCATATATCAGGTATATATATAAATCATATGATAGTATGAGTGATGAAGATGATTCCAGGTTTTTCATAGGCAAGTTTCACTGAATGCAGGCTTTGCTGGCATGCATCGCCAAGCGGAGCTCCTTTGCAATCCCTCGCAAGATGTGAGAATTGCATCCAGATACCGGGGGGGGGGAGAGAGGAGGCTAAGTTAGTTAGGCATCCTTCAGTCTCGAAAGACTATGGTCATGTGCTCTGTATGGAGGACTTGGAACAGCTTCTAGTGTGGCTGAGGAGGCCAATTCAAGAGTGACAATCCCTTCCACACTGAAGACAAAGACAATCTGTCCCCTGTCCAGCTCCCTGCTTTTGCTGCTTTTGTGACTTCCTCTTCACCTCGGCCTGCTGGATAAGGGTCTCTTCAAATTGGGAGAGGCCGTGATGCAATGCCTGCCTCCAGGCTGAACACTCAGATGTCAGGGTTTCCCATCTGTTGAGGTCTAAGAGGCATAGAGGAGGGAGGCTAAGAGGCATATTTAAAAGGCCACTCCCTCACATGTTCTGCCTCTTTTCGAGGCTTTCATACTTCTCACCCTCGCATTAAACATGTATGACTTTCACTGGTTGCCCTGTTAGGGGCTGAATAGGAATTTTTGACCCGCTACCGGAACTGGCAAGATGGTCATGGGGATTTTTTGCCTATCCCACGCTGGCACAGGGTTCTTGTTTGTTACATGTTGTGGTTGAGTTTATTTCCTAGGTCACACAGTGGGTAGTGCAAAGGAAATCAGTGAGCGCCCATGGAGCAGGTTGATGAGGGGGTCCCGGGAGACCTTTGGTTCCAAACCTGTTCCCACACCACCGCAGGCCCCTGATTTTTTGGGCAAGAAGTTACCTGAGGTGTTTTCAATAAAGTGTGGCCCTAGTTTATCCCATCTCTTGCGTCTCACCTCTTTATTCCGTAGTGGGAGGGCAAAGCGCATTGTTATAGTAAAAGCTGTTTGATTTTAAAATCTGTATTAATTGAAAATATATGAAGAAAACACAGATTTCTTTAATGCAATACTTATTTCTTTATAACTGTGCTAGAAAATGCTGTTGTATCTTTTTGACAGGTATTATGGAGTTCAGCCTCTTTGGAATCTCGTATGTAAGTTTTGTTGGCAAAAAGTTTATCTAGAATTCTTTTTAAAATATTTTGAATTAGTTTCATGTGACATGGGGCATTTTAACCTCTTCTCTTTTTTCTTGTTTTTAGTGTGGTGCTGACATCTGTGGCTTCTTCAATGACACAACCTATGAACTGTGCGCCCGATGGATGGAGCTTGGGGCATTCTACACCTTCGCTAGAAATCATAATGTGATGGGCACTAGGGTGCGTTAAACATTCTTGGCAGTGTGTTACATGCAGTAAAACAGTGGTGCCTCACTTGACAAC